GAAAGCGCCCGCTTCCCGCGGGACCGCCGCTCTCCGCCGGCTGCGAGGGAAACAGGATCCCGCTGCCGTGCGCCGCACGGGAGCCTGTTCCTGGCAGCCGCCGGCTTCCCGGTGCCTCCAAGGAAGAGGATACAAGTTGAATATTGTTTGTGCGGCCGGGACAAAATATCCAGGGCTGACGGGGATGGGAGGAGGGGGGAGGGATTGTGTTCGTCCGCCCATGATGAATAATCCGGGCCGGCCTCCCGGCTGTGGCGGCCAAATCGCTCTTGGATCTGCCAAGAGATCAGCCGCTACCTCTGCCCGCGCCTCGGGCGCCGTTGGCCTTTCCCCGGCTGGCTCTGGCAGAGCGCACATCGCAGCCGCCGAGCGCACGGCGCTGCCTCCGCCGGGGCCACCCGCCCGGGGCCGGGCCGCAGCCTCAGCATCAGCCTGGGGCGGAGAATGGGGGACGGGCGTGTAAAGCGTGGCAGCGAAGTTTGGGGAGGAGAGGGGGTTTCCCCGGTCCGGGGATGCCCGTCAGCAGGTGTGCCCCGCGCGGCCCAGGGCGGGGGGCACCGCGGGGAGCGGAGCCCCGGGCTGCGCCGTGCGGGACCTGCTGACCCTTCCTCCCCCCGCCCGCCCCGCCGTCTGGTGGGAACAAACACAAGCTGTTCCGGACCGGGGCCGCGCAGCTGGCCCGGCGGTGGCGGCGGAGCGCTGCCAAAGAGGCCGCAGGGAAGCTCCTCGGGTTTCCCGCAAGCGCACACACGCGGCCGCCCGGGCGCGGCGCTGGGACCGCTCCCAGCGGCCGTGAGCGGCGGGGGCCCCGCGTGTGTGTGCCCCGGGGGCGTGTGCGGGTGGCGACGTGCCCGGAGAGCAGCCGGGGACGGCGGGCGGCTCCGTGTGCGTGGAAGTCTGAGGCGGCGAGACGATGTGCGTGGGGAGCGGGAGCGCGCTGCGAGGGCGGCGGCGCGCGTGTGCCTGCGTGGGAAACCCTGCGCTTGTGCGATCGCTTGTGCGGGTCAGCGTGAGTGTGTGCTGCTGTGTGACAGCCCGGTTGTGAGAACGGGAACGGGAGAGGTCCTCGGCGTATGTCCCAGCTGAGAGCTGCAGTGCTTCCCCCGGAGGATGCAGTGCCCGTGCGAAAGGGGCAGCGAGTGTGCGTGGGAATAAACGCGCGTGTGACACGGAACGTGAGCGTGACACGGAACGTGTGCGTGACACGGCACGATGGAGAAGCCGCACCGTGTGTGCCACACGGAGCGTGTGCGTGACACGGTGTACGACAGGCGGCGTGCCCGTGTGACTCAGCGTGCGACCGTGTGAGTGCACGCGTGGGCGAGAGCTGCCGAGCCGCTCGGGAGGCGGACGCGCTGCGGGGCCGAGGAAGCCGGGCAGAAATGCTCCTCTGCCGCGCTGGCGCCCTGCCCAAGCCCTGCCCGGGCGGCCCCCGGTGCCGGGAGCGCCCGCGGAGTCTATTTGCCACCGGCGGTCCCATCCCTTCGCCGGCCGGAGCCCCCGGGCCCATCCGCCCCCGCGCAGCGCAGCGCGGCCGGCGCCCGCCGGAGGAGGGAGCTCCCGGGGCAAGAGCCGTGGCTGGGCGGGCAGCGGGCCATGGAGGAGGGACCCCACGCCCCTCCCCTCCCGCTCAGCGCCGAGGGCCCTTCTGCCCGTCCCCACCTTGTTTATGTGCAGCAGGAACTGGGATTTTCCATCTGCCTGCTCCGCTGGTCGTGACCTCCGCGCAGAGCTCGCAGGCACCGGCTTTCGTGAGCGGGCCGGGCCGCGGGGGCAGCGGGAGCTGCTGCCGCCTCCCCGGAGGAGGACGCTCATCCTCACACGGGTTGCCGGGGTGAAAAGGGGACGGTGGCAACGACAGAGGGAAGGGATGGAACTGGTGGTGGGAGGCCCTGGAGACCTGCCCTTCCCGGGGAGCCCTGCCAGTCCTGTCCTGCCTCTGCACGTCCAACCACTTCGGCATAAGTTTGCGTTTTCCTGCCCCAGCCCGATCCCTCGTGCCAGGGACAACATAGGCCCTTAGAGAGGTTTGGGGGGAGGGAATCCCCAGCTTACTTACACCACAGGGAGTAGGCAACCCCGCTGTGGCTGCTGAAGCGCTGACGAGAGCAAGGCCCTCAGCTCGGCGCGGAAATCTGCTCCTGCTCCGAGGATCCCAGAAACACGGGCAGCCTCCTGGGAAAGATGCTGCGCCTGTACGGGCGCCTGTTCCCACTTGCTGTGGTGTGACTCTCGCCAGAAGGGGCTGGCGGGAGGGTGGGATGGGAACACCGGTCCTGCTTGCTCTGGCAGGGAGGGGAGAGGGAATGCCGAGTAGCCGCGTAGCCCCGGCCGTGTCCGGGTCTCGGATCCGCTCGTCCTCGCCCGCTCCCGGACGCGGGCTGGCGGGCGCTCCCCGCCGCTGGGCTCCCCCCGGAGGGACGGGGGGTGCCGGAGGGCTCCGAATGGAGGCGGCACGGAAGCAGCTCTGCGAGGGAGCAATGACTCTTCTCCTGCGCTATAGAGCAGAGGCTGGCTCTGTCTGAGCAGCAAGCGGTGATAAGAGCTGATTTACAGGTAGGGGTGAAACGTGCTCTGAAAATCTCGTGACACTTTCCTCCGGTGGATTCAAATAATATATAAAGACCGTGAGGTGGCGATCTCCCGGGTAGCTCCTAGGATGCGTGGCGTTGTTGTTAACACATGTTTCAATTTTGGATTGAGACTGTCAATTACCCGCTGAGCTGTGAGTCTTAGCCTCAGGCGGGCTGGGAAGAGGGGACGGGTGTGTTTATTAACCTCTCAAGCCTGGCGAAGATGCGCTTCCAGCCTCTCACTCGGCCGTTCTCGCACCTTCCCTCCGACCCTGCAGGTGCCACCCGGGCTGCCCCGGCGGCTTCCGCTGCCCGTGGCAGCCGTGCTTCGCCTCCTCCGGTCCCTGCAGAGGCTCTCAGTCCTCACATGGGCACAGCCCCGCGATGAGCCCCACAGCTGCGGGGGGAGGAGGCAGTTCTCCCCTGCCGAGCCGAAGGTGGCCGTCTTGGCCGAAACGACCCCGGACGGAGCGGGGAAATACACGGGCATAGTTTCCCCTTGTTTCCCAAATACATTCTCTTGCTCGGTCGGAAAAACAGGCCAGCTCTCCTCAGCGCAGTCTATTGGATTTAGGATTTTTTTTTTTTCCCCGGAGCGGAAGAGACCCCCATCTCTCCGGGAGCATAAGCAAACAGCTCCGAGAGCCCGCTCCAGAGGCTGAAGCGGAAGGGCTGACAATTAACATTTCCTCTGGTAGCAGAGATCTGCAGGCAGATCGCTCGGGAAGCGCATCGCCCCCTCCCGCGGCGTGCCCTCGCCGCATCGCACGGTGCCTGCTAAGCACTATGCGCTGTTTGCAGAGGAGATTTCCTTCTGGCAGAGCCCGCCCGCTGTCCCGGACCCTGCCCTGCAGCGCCCCGGGCACACTCCGCTAGAGCAGCCCGGGGGGCCCCCCAGCATCGCGGTTTGCCCTTTTTGTGTCTCCACCGTTCTGCTGCAACCACCTGAAAACAAACCACCCTAACTCGCTCAGCGCAGCGCCTCTGCCTCTTGCTTTTCCTTTTCCTTTCCCTTTCCCTCTTCGTCCCCTCCTTGACCTCCCAAACTTCGCTGGTCGGGGCCCAGTCGAGCCCGGCGACCCCCGCACGGCCCGTACGCCTCTCTGTGCCGGGAGCCGCGAGTGCGTCTCTCCGCACCAAGCCTCCGTGACGAGAAAGGCATCGTAGGCAGCCTATAAATAATTTCCATTATGTTCAGCTGACAGCGCGAGGCGATTAATTTTAATAGCTGTATATTTGCCTGTTTCTCCTAATGCTCTGTAATGAGATGAGAAGCCATCCAACCCCAGATGGCTCCAGCCGCCTCGTTATTTATTTATTTTGTGTGTGCGTGTGTGCAAAAGAGGGGCGAAGGGGAGGGGGGGCGGCGGTCTCTGCGGGACCGGCAGCCCCCCCCCGGAGCTGCCCCTGTCCCCGCCGCTCCCGGTATCGCCCCCGGGACTGCCCGCGGGCCGTAGGAGCCATCATGACACTGCACATTCAGCCGCCGGGGCTCTGCCACTCGTGCGCGGGGCCGTGGCAGGCAGGACCGGGGGCCACCACCGGCTGGGTGTTTCGGGAATATTTATTTATTCTCTCCGGTCGCGCAGAGAGTGACTGCGGGAGCGCCGGGGGCCGATCGGCGCGGGAGTAAATGCAGCGGATCGATGTCGTTCGGGGTGAGGGGCGGGCGAAGGGGACCACGGATCAAAGCCCATCCTATTAACCTAAATTTCGGTTCTGCGTGGCCTGCGGTCCGGGGGCCGGCGGGAGGGGAGCGCTTTGTGGGAGCCGGGAAAGCGACCACGCCGCCCGCCGCCGGCACCAGCCAGCGCCGTGGCGGTGGTGTGTGTGTGGCGGTGTGACAAAGCCTCGCCGCGCTGAGCAAGCTGTCCCTCAGCCCAGGCGGCGGGCGGGGGAAGGGAGGGTGAAGGGAGGTTTCGACATGTAGGAACGGCGGAGCGAGTCCCAGATTTGGGGACTCCAAAGCGGGGGAGGGGGAGACGGGGGCATTCCCTGGTAGGACGAGGCTGCTTAACCAGGTGGAACAGTACCGAGGCGAGCACCTGTGTCTTTTTCTAAAAGGCGTGTACTGATAATTACGAGAGTTAATTGCATTGCTTTGAAGGTCATTTGAAGTTACGGGGCTGTGTTGGTTTTTTTTTTTTTTTTTTTTTCCTTTTTTTTTTGGGTTTGTTTTTTTTTTTTTTTTTTCAGGCTCGCAGACAATGCCCGTGCACTGTTTTAAATGTAAATCAGAGGGTATCCGCATAAACCTGTATTGTAGGATCGAGGCGTAATGGATTCACTCCGGCTGTGCCTGAGCTCGCCACAATACAGCTGAGCAGCCGAGCTGCGAGCGCGCCGGGGTTTCTCTGCGGAAACGCAGTTGCCGAAGAACATGAAAAGCATTAAATCGTGACGGGAAGGGGGCGGCGAGGGCGGGGGGGGATGCATTTACGCTGGGTGGGGGGGAATCTCGGGACCGAAAGATGCGTAGCAGCGGCGCAGCCACCCGTCGCTAGCAGCCAGGAAGTTTCTCACCCCGGAGAGACACGGGGCTGGCGTGTCACGCACCGTGACACCGGCGGGGAGGGCCCTGGCATCGCTCCTCCCGCGGGCGTGGAGAGGCATCGTCTCTTGTTCCCTGGCATGCCCCACCTGGGGCACGGCCGTTCCCAAAGGCTGCTCGCTCATGCGGAGGGCCGGGGCAGAAGGGCTGGTCCCCCCCGGGCCCGGAGGACGTTGTTCCCGCCGCCCCCTCCCCGATGTGGGGCAAGTTCCGGCCCGGCCCGATCCAGAGGAATGTGGCATAAGGGAGACTGGCCCTTAGCCCATCCCCACTGCCTCTGAGCCTTCATTAATCGCACCGCCCGGGGCCGCGGCGTACCGCCGAGCTGGCCTGCCGGGCGATTAGCCCGACGCCCCGGGGTACGGCTCTTCCCGGCGGCGCTGACAGCCAGCCCGGCCCCCGCTGCCCCCGCTCCGGCACCTGCGAGCAGCTCCGCCGGAGGCGAGGACGTGCGCAGGAGTCCGCAGAGAGCCTTTCTTCTCTCCCCTCTCCCCACTATTAACAGGGCACCGCTCGCAAGACGGTCGCGCCGCACGGAACAAATGTTCATTGATCTCCACCGCGGGGCTGGGGAGGGACGTGGGGCGCCGTGCCGCGCTCCCGGCCCCGCAACTGCGGGGGCGAGGGGGGCACGAACCGGCCAGGGACCCGACCGCATCCCAGATGCGAGGGCGTGTGCACATCCGCGGGGCCGCCTGTAAGGGAAGACGTTCCTCTCCCTGAGGATGTGCTCCCTGAGGTTCGGGGCTGCCTCCCGGACGAGCAAGGCGAGCGGCGGCCGCGGAAGGTGCGGTCTGTCCCTTCCCGCGATGCCGGGCCACCCTCATGCAGATCGCGCCGTGTCACCTCCCTGATGGCAACCACCACCCGCCTCTCCAGAAAAGTCGTCAGCCCGGTACCGCCGCTTCCCCCGTTGTCCACGGCAACCGGCGTATCTGATTGAACCTCGTTGTAGGCAGTGACACCCGCGTAATGGATCATCCTGTCAGTGCTTTTTTATCACAGGCATTTATTTTGGTCACGGCTGGTGATAACTTTGGTGTTTATCCCTTGTGTCGTTACGGGCCCTGCCGCGATCTCCCTTCCGCCCTCCCTCCCCGGCGGGCGGGCTGGGCTGCTCTGGGACGGCGGCTCCCCCCGCCCGTCCGGGAGCTGCTGCGAGGGGTGCCCCGATACCCCCCACTACCGCCCTGGGTCTCCGTGGCCTCGGCTGGGGACGGATCGATCTGTTTGGTTTGGTTAAGCGCCCTCCCCCGATCGCCCTGGCCTCTCCGGGGCCGGGTTATCTTGGGTCACGCTGGCGCGGAGCGCCGGGTGCGGTAAGAGGCTCCGGCGGAGCCCTGGTGCAGGAGGGAGCCGGGGGAAGAAAGTGCCGTTCGCAGTTCTCCATCCATCCAGACACTTCAAAAGTAAATAAAGCAGGGCAGGGAAGGGCCTCCAGGGAGGGGAGAGAAGAGGCCTCTGACAGGCGATTGTCCAGGGCGGAGCCAGGGCTATTTCCAGCCGGGAATAACAACACTTGGACTGCGGTGGCTCCGACCCGCGTGTCCAGGAAAGACCGGATCGGGGTGTTTGTTTTGCTTTTAATTATTATTTTGACGGCGGGCTGACGCAGCGTAGGCAAACAATAACCCCAATCCGTCCGAGAGGGGCACCGGGGAGCAGCGCCGCCCCAGCCGGCAGGGAAAGAACCCAGCGAGGGGGCGGGCGCGGGGCCAGGTTTGCTGCCTCCCGCGGAGGTCGGGGCCGGAGCCACGGGGCCGGGAGGAGTCCGCTGGGGCCGGGAGGAGCCCGCTGGGGCCGGGAGGAGCCCGCTGGGGCCGGGGCGGCCGGCCGGGGACGGCCCCGCGGGGAGGCGGCGCGGGGGGCAGGGGGGGCCGGTGAGGAGCAGGAGCGGGGCCCCCGGCGCGGTCGCGGGCGGGGGTGTGGGGGGAGGCCGCCGCTCTTATCTGGGTCACTGGGGTTAGAGGGAGCAGCTAGATAGAAACAGAGGAGCTGAGCTCCCGCTGCTGCAGAGATAGAGCCGCGATATGGGCCAAGCAGGCACCGAGCTGGAGGAAGGGCGGGAGGGAGGGAAAGAGGGAGGAGGAGGCGGCGGCTCGTTCCGGCTCCCGAGCCGAGCCCAGGTGCGCTGTGGTTTCCCTGCGCTCAGCGCTGCGCTCGGCGGCCCCCCTTCCCTCGCTCCCCATCCCCCGTCCTCCTCCCCGTCTCCCTCCAACGTTTAACCCTTTCCCACCTCCGCGGGGCTGGAGGCTGAGGCGTGCGTTGGCCCGGCCGCGTCCCCTGCGGTTCCCCACTCCCTCCGTGGCAGAGACTGATCACGGTGGGGGAGAAGCGGGGGGGCCCAGGGGGTTTGGCCTTGTGCTGCCGAGCACCGCCCTCGGGCAGCTCCCGGGACCCGGCTTTGTACACACATACACATACACACACTCATGCACACACACACCCAGCTGCGCCGAGCCGAGCCGAGCCGGCCCCGGGCCAGCCCCCGCCTGCCGCCGCCGCTGCCCGTGCGGCCGATCTCGGTCACAGCCAGCCACCCAGCGGGGTTGGCTGCTGCAGCCGCCGCCTTCCTCCTCCTCCCCGGTCCCCGCCGCCCTTTTCCTTCCTGCTCGGGTTGAGCTGCCCCGGAGCTCCCCTGGCTCGCCGGCGGCGGCCAGTCCCCGCTCCCGGGCCGCTGCCGGCGGGGAGGCGGATGCGGAGCGACCGGGGAGGGGAAGGGCTCTCCGAGCGCCCCCATCTCGCGCCCAGCCCTTTAATCAATTTCACCCTATTAATTATTAATTTTACGCCAGTCAAGCTTGCCCAGGAGGAGCGAGGAGGGGGAGGGGAGGCTGATGTCAGTCGGAGGCGGCGGCGGGGCCGTGTGCCAGGCTCCGCGCTCAGCCCCGGCCCAGCAAGTTTCGGCTCCGCTGGCTCGGGCAGCTCCGTTCGCCGAGAACCGGGGGAGGCGGCGATTCCCATTCCGGTGAATGATGCGGTCCCCCCCTCGCACACACATCCACACACGCTCTCCCTCTCTCTTTTCCGCTCCCTCCCCTTCTCTCCCCGCCCGCCCCCCGTGTAGACACATCCATACAAGGGCCCATTGCATCGTAGCGATGATGGATCGTGCCTAGCGGGGGTGATTTGGTGTTGATCGCATATTATCACGGGCAGGTTGGACTGGTTGCTGATGGACGGCTTTCTAGCAAGCCGCTCCTTCCGACGCTCGGGGAAGCAGCTCGATCGAAAAAGCAGCTTGCTTTTAACTCCTTCTCTCACCAGCACGCGTAGGGCAAAGCTTAGCATCTGTCACAACAGCTCTCCGGATAGCACTTTTCCCTCCTCCCACTCCATTTTCGCCGCGGCAGCCCCGCCGCCGGCTGGTTCTCCCCGGCACCGGACGAGCACCGGGCAGGTCGGGGGGGCTGGCGAGGAGGGCTACCCCGGCTCTTCCGCGGGCGAGCTGCCCTGGCCGAGAGAGGTGTACCGGGGGGTCCCCACACCCACCCGGGGAGAGCCCCCGGCCCGCCGCCCGGGCTCGCTCCCCGCCTGGAGAGAGCTGCTCTGTCTCCCTCTCCTCCTTCTCGCCTGTTTTTAATGTAAGTTCCTGCAGATACAAAGGCAGTTTCGTAATGCCTCCCGTCTGCGAGGACCGGGGACCTTGGCTAACCTTTCGGAAAACTGATTGCAAGTGCCTGGTAGCGGCCCGCGCCGGCAGCGCAAGGCACCAGGAGAAGAGGGTCAGCGCTTCGGTGACAAGCGCCGAGGTAGCCATGGATCCCCTGGAAGGGCCTGCTCGCAGCCTGCCTCCTCAGAAACGCTTCGTGCGAACGCTTATTCTCTGGCGAGAGAGGAGGGCGGTGGAGGGGAGGCTTAACCCTTTCGCTTCGCGCCGCCAGCCGCGTCCCAGCCGCCCGCCAGATCCGAGCCGTGCCGTGCCGTGCCGTGCCGGTCAGCCCGGGGCTCGGGGCACCTCCGCCAGGACCAGGTCGGGCAATGCCCCGGGATAAATTACCTCTTTTCCTCGTGATGGTGCAGGACAGGGAGCCAAGAATTGTATTTTTTATATGTTAATTATTTATTTTAATTTCATTTTTATTTTCTCTTTTTTTATATATATATATATATTTTGTTTTTAAACACAGGACTCGAAAGCGATGGTGCAGCGAGCTGCCCCCTTATCTCGCTCTTCGCTGCTAGTTTAACTCCTTCCGCCAGGCCCAGCGCAGGTTCCTCGGGCCGGGGATTGTTTTCTGTTTGGAAACTGGAGAAGGGGGGAGGCTATCGGCAGGAAAGCAATAGCTCGCTCTCTCTGGAGAGCTGCTCTCCAACAGGCAGCGCCGGGGGGGGAGAACAAAGGGGGAGGAGGAGGAGGCCGAACCAGAGCCAGCCAGAGAGGGAGAAAGCGATGGATCAGCCGGTTTGCAGCGTACATCAAGCTATCACATCTGTATATGCTCCGATCGATGAAAAGGATGGATAATATTTGTCAGCTGCAGACCTTTTTCTTCTCACTTCCCAAAGAAAGGACGGGGGTTGGGGAAAGAGAAGTAATAGGGAGTTTCAAGGCCAGAGGCACTTCCTGGTACAGCCAAATAGAAAAAAAAGGCTAGGGATTATTATTAATTATTTTTATTATTCTTCAGCCGTCAAAAGGATGATCAGGGGACCGTGCAGCCCTCTCTGGCCGCTTCTTCACGCTCTCACTCCTTTTCCCCCCGCCTTTTTTTTCCTTTTTTTTTTTTTTTTTTTTTAACTCTGATTCCTTGCAGGGCTCCAAAGATTTAACCCTTTGCTTGAGGCTTGAGGTGGGTGAGGCACAAAAGCAGACCGTGAAAGCCTTGGACTGAAAAAAAAAAAAAAAAATAAAAAAAAAAAACAACAAAAAAACGCACCCCAACGCAAGCTCAGGGAGAAGTCAGTAAAACGCACCGTTACACACACGGCGACGTGGTTTGGCTTTGGGGAAGACAAGGAGGGGGGGAAGCACGAGAGAGACGTAGCCTCGCTCTCCACCGCCCCCCCGGTTCTGCCAGCCCCTCGCCTGGTGCCTGCAGTTGCACTCTGAGTAAATAGTTCCCACACATGGTCCACATTTTGCGCAGCAGCAGCGTGTTTCCTCTCGGTCTCTCATTGCTGCTCTCCGAGCAAAGGAAATAAAAGAGAGGGAGAGAGCTTTAGAGGAAGTTAAAAATCAGACGAGCTGAGAGAAGACTCTGTGTTACACACATCCTGAACGAAAGCGAAAGCCCAGCATTTCAGCCCTGTGAGCGCCAAGCTCTCACCTCCTTAGTAATGTCACTAGCATACGTGTTGGACACAGCACAGTTAATCGCTTGCACCCGGCGAGACGGGCGCTCACAATAGCTGGGCTGGCTGCGGAGCCCTCCGGAGGGGGCCGGCTGCCCGCTCACCCCCTGCTCGCCTGCCGGAGCGGCTGCAGGGTCGCAGCTGCACGCAGGGAGCACCCCGGGTGAGCCGGGCTCCTTCCTCGCCACCAGGGGATTCTTCTTCCCTGGAAACGGGGGTGCCCGGCAGCCGAACCTTGTGTGCAGAAATGGCGATGTCCTACACTACTTTCCCAGGACATCAAGCATCCCTGGAGGGGCGGTGGGAAGGGTGGAAGGGTTTGGGATGGGGATGCTTGGTGAGCTCTTAGGAAGGTCACCACCGTTCCCTGCACTGGGGTCCACCCCGGGCCTGCGAGCTGCTGCTCTCCCCTTGCTTGGGGAGCTGGAAGACAGGGTGCCAGAGCGGAGTGTGCTGCTGGGAAACCATTATCCGGCGTTCTCCTTTTCTTCTCCCTCCAGGCCCTGGCTCCGTCCCCGCCCGCCCCTGAGCCGGGATCAGCCAGATGATCCTCCGGCCGGCGGCTGAGTGGCAGCCGCTCCGTGGGTAGCATTAGGGCTCGGCCACTCCGCGCTCCCGTGACCCCGCCGTGTCTCTCTCCCTCCATCGCAGCCTCTCCGAAGCCCAGTACCCCATCAGCTCTCGCTGTGTGATATTTAAAAGAAGGGTTGCATTCTCCCCAATAGAAGCCCACTCGTTTCCTTGTTGCCAGGAACAAAGCGTACATTCAGAGGGGTGGCTGTTGACGGCTCCCTCTGTATAGCACTGGAAAGCGGGTGGCCTTTGGTTACTGGCAAGGAAAATTCTAATCAGGGTGCTTGTAAGCGGGGCTTTATAGAAGCTTAGTTACAAAAGGCTTACACCAGAGTAATGCAATAACTATAATAACAGCCAGGGAGCCCTAAAGAGGGTGGAATGTGCTTGTGTCTGGATGATTTTCCCCGCTCGCACAGAGAGGGACTGTTTACCGCGAGTGCCATTAAGTATCGCTGGAAACTCACCAACCGCAGACTTATTTCAATATACTTTATTGTTGTATCTGCTCTAAAAGCAACTTGCTTTGGACGACTTCTAGATCGTCCTAGAGAAGAGAGGCCGCCCTCGGGTATTGGAGGAGGCTCTGAGCACAGGGGTAGTGTCAAGGGTGAGGGAGCTGCGAGCCGGGGCCCGGCCGGGTGGGGCTGGCCGGAGCGCGTCCCGGCGGGCAGTGCCGCCGCCGAACAAAGTGGCGAGCAGAAAAGGCCCCCTGAGCCCTGCGGCACAAAGCTGTCGGGCTCCTGCCCCCGGAGGAGGTGGGTACGCAGCAACGACTCCTCCGCGGGCCTCCTCGGCTGTCTCGGCCGATAAGGGCGTGGGGACCCCGAGGGACACGGGGGGAAGGAGGGGAGGAACCCAGCATCGCCCTCCCGCCACTCCGTTCGGCGCCCCGGGGCGCGCCCTGGCAGCGGTGACCCCGCTGTTCCGGCTCAGCCGCTCCGGCTTGACGAGGCTAATGGGATCAGCCGCTGCCCTCCGCCACCGCTGCCGCGTGTTGATTTTTCCAACCTCTCCGCCCAGCCCCGATGCCCGCCGTCCCCTAGCCAGACCCAGCTACTGCTTGGCCGCCGGCGAGGGGCCGCGGCTCCGGAGGGCAGGAAATGGCTTGGCCGGGGAGCCGGGGCGGTCACTCCGCCCCGCCGCGATCCCGGCGTACGGCGGCGGCCGGAGCGGGCTGCGCCGGGAGGCGCCCCGGGGACCGCGGTGGCCCCCGGAGGGACGCGGGAAGCGGGCAGAGCTCCACCACCACCCCCCCCCCATTACCAGCCTCCCCCGGCACCCCCGAGCAGACTTTGCAGCGCTTTATTTTAGCGAAAAAACAGAGCGCGGCGAGCAAACTGCTGCTCCGCGCAGGGCAAGAGAAATGGGTTTTTAATAGGCAAGGTCGGCGTGCTTGGCAGCCGGCCACCGCGGCCGGGGAAATAAACAAACAGAGGAGCTGCAACTTCAGGTCGGAGCAGAAGTTGCGCTCCCGGCGAGATGAGCCCGCGGCACGGCCCGCGGGGCGAGCGAGCAGCCCCGTACGGAGCGGCCGCGGAGAGCATCTCCGGCCCCCTGACCCCTCACCTCGCCCCCCGCGGCCCCGGGACAGCAGCGGGGCCGGGGCAAGCAACCCCCTGCGCTGCCAGGAGCAGTGCCGGCGGGCTGGCAGCGGGCGGAGGGCAGATGGCCACCCTTGTTTATCGCGTTCCGGCGCTGCTGCACGCCTAACCGCTGCTGTGCGGCACGGCCGGCCCCGGGGAGGCAGGAAGGGAGAGGTGGAGGCAGCGGGAGAGGAGCCTTCCGATCGCGAAGCGGCAAGACGGCGTCTGCCGGAGGGTTTGCAGGCATGCCCGGGGGTTCCCGCTGCCTCCACCGCCGGGGCTCGGCCGTGTCGGCCCCGCTGGCCGCACCGCGGGGGCGCCGCGCTCCCGCTCTCGGCGCGTTCCGGGCTCGGTGCCGAGCACTCGCGGCTGCCGCGCATCAGCCTCCCCGCTGCCTCCCGCCGCCGCCTCGCTCACTCCCGGCTCTGCAGGCGGCAGGGCAGAGCTATCCCGCAGCTTCTCCAGTGGCACTGACCCCCGACTGGCCTTCACGTCTTTCCCCAGGAACGAGCCCGGGCAGGGAGTGGGGAGGGAGGGGCGGGGGTCCGCTCCTCCGATCGCTCTTCCCAAGCCTTTCTGCAGCTCGGCCGCCGCAGGCACACACGGGGGGAGAGGCGGTCCCTGCCTGAGCAGGGCTTGTGCAGCCCCTCTGCTCGCGGAGGGCTCGGAGGGGACATCATTTTGCATCCAGCTGCTAACAGGGCCAGAAAAGCCTCAACGCTCTCGGGGTGAGGGAGGGACCCTGCCTGCCCTCAGCAGGGGAGGACGAAAGCAGCTGTGTCAGGAGAGCAGGGAGCGAAGTCCAAGCCTGGGGAAGCTGGACGAGAGCTCGAGAAGAGGCCGGCAACACTCGCCCCAGCGGTCACAGACCTTTCTTTCCCGGCTTGGAGGTGGCAGGAGACGACCTCTTGCCGCTGCCATGGTTCCCACCGTAGCACGGCCCGAGCTGGGGCCTCGCTACGCCGGGAGGAAGAACGGGAGCGAGCCGCGCCCCTCGAGTTCCCACGGAGCCACGGCCTGGGCTCCCAGGGGTGCTACAAGGCCACCGTCATCTCTCAGCCACATCATGGCAGAGGGGAGAATCCCCCCCGGTCCCGTCACCCCACGCCACTCCTGGCAGCTGGAGGAACGGGGGCTGCGACCGGGACGGGCACCGGGCAGGGCGGCGGCCGCTGCCAGCGGCGCTCCCGCTCCGCACCGCCCGGGCAGCCGCCAGCTTTTTGGCAGATCGCTCCGCAGACGGCTCCCAAGGACTCCTGCAAGGGCTGACACGGGTCACGGGGAACAGCTGAATAGTGCGATAGGCCGGGCTAAAGCGCGACAGATTCGAGCCAGGGAGAGCGGGGACCGGCCAGGATGGAGGAAAGGGAGAGGTGCAAAGGCCCGGGGGATCGGGGGCGACAGGCAAAGCCACCATCCCTCAAAATGCCGAGCTGGCAGCAAGCCGAGGAACTGGGGAGCTCTGCAGTCCCGACAGCCAGGGAAAGGGAACATGAAGAAGCAGCATGAATGGGGTAAAGACTGTTTCTTACAGACCTGGAGTGACCTATCGTTTAAAATATCTGGCTTCCCCTTCTAGTGCCAGGGTGTACCTGCAGGGTAGTCTCTGCCTTTCTGTCTCTCGTCCCATTATTCCACTACAGTCGAATCCTTCTGTTGTGACCTACAGCAGCGCTCTGATTTATTTTTAATGCGTTCCGATTCCTGTTCCGTTGTCAAGAGATGCATTGAGATTCATTTTCCATCCCCAGTTTTTCATACTTCTGTTCTGCTGGAGGGACCCGCCAATAGAGTTTAATTCGATTTGATATGATTTAATGAACACCTTTATCTTTTGTTTTTAGCAGAAGGATAAATAATACAACTGCATTCAGCTTTTGCTAAATCAGACATGTTTCCCACCAAAATCCTATCTGGTGACACACACTCACTGTAACATTTCATTAACAACCTCCCTGATTTATTGATTTTTAATATTTGTATTAAATGTTGTGTAAAATTGAACTCAGGCGTTAGAAGAGATTGTGCACGTCACAAGACATGACTCCTACTTAATTGTTATTTTTTTTTCGGTCCTGGAACAACAGCTGGAAAGAGGCCAGCAGGAGGGGAAAAAAATTAAAAATAAATTATAAAGGGCAGTGCCCGGGAGAGTGTGGGGGAGCTGGAGAGAAAGTGCAGCCCTGAGGGAGGGAGGGAGGGAAGGAGGGAGGGCAGCAGGGCCTGGCTGCCGAGCCCCCCAGCCCCCCCAGGCCCCTCGGGGGCCGCCCCCTCCCACCCCAGCGCCCTGGGCCGGAGCGGCCACCCGGCTTCCCTCTGCTTCCCCTGCTCTCCCAGCTCGCTCGTTCCGTGTCGCCTCCCTCCCTCCTGCTCCATATGGTTTCTCCCCTCCCCCTCCTCCTCCTCCTCTCCCCCCTCCATGCTGTCTCCGTGACGCTCCCCACTCCACGCTACTTCTCCATTTCCCGAGGGAGCGTTTCCCCGCCGCGGCGTGGAGAGGCCCCGCAGAGCGGCCCGGCCCGGCCGCAGTGTCTGAGGGGCTGAGCCGGGCCAGCATGCAGCGTGGAGGGGCGAGCGGGAACGGCAGGGGATGGCTGCGGGTCAGGAGAGGGCCGTGAGGAGCGGGAGCAGCCAAAACTCCCGGCCAAAATGTTTCCCGGGTGTGCGGTAGAGGAGCTTGAAGAAGTTCATCTCCCCCACGCTCCCCTTCTTCTTGTTTTCTTTTTCTCTCCCCCCCTTCCCCACCCCCGGCCGCCACCAGGAATACGAGGCATTCAGAGATCAACATAATTCACCTGCATCAAAAAAAACCTCGCGAGCTATAAACTAGCGGCTGATCCTCCGCTTAGACTAGTGTTTAGCCGTTCATGCATCATGAGTGTCAAATAAATGCCTGATTGAGGCCCTCAGCGGAGGAATTAGCTTTCCTTGCGCTGGAAATGCATAATAGAGAAAGTGCTGAGGCATCCTCCCCGGAGTTAGCTCGGGCTCCGCTCCCTGCTCTCCTCGTTTCGGGAGTTTTCCCTCCCTCATTCCGGGTCCGTCCCCCTCCCCACCTTCCAGCCTCCCTTATCGCTCGCCCTTATCAGCATGCCCAGCTGGCCAGGGGCGAGGGAAGCCCTCCCGGACCGAGGGGGCCGGCTGAGGGCGAAAGGAGCAGCGGAGCATCGCTGCCGTGGCCCGGGGCCCCGCTCTGCCCCGCGGGGAGCGCTGCCTCGGCCGCCCCAGGGCGGAGACGTGGGCGGGGGGAGCGGGGAGCGGCGGGGGGACCCCTTCAGCGAGCTCCTTGTCGCTTGGCCGCTCTTCCGCGCCGGGGGCCTCATCCTGCCGGCGGGCACGACCCAGCCCCGACGTTTGGTGGCGAAGGGGGCGGGGGGGAAGGCTGGCGAAGCGCTCTGCTCCGCCGCCCCCGCCGCCCTCCGCAGCTCCGCGCCGGGCTCGCCGCCCGAACGGGTCCCAAGTCCCCCCGGGCAGGGTACGCCGGCGGAGCCGGGCAGGCGGCCGAGGCACACAGGGGTTAAACCGCGCCGCGGCCGGGAGGAGCAGTTAAAGAGCACGGGCTTGCAGATGCTTTTCAGGCCTCGATGTCTACCGTTTTAAATTAAAAAAATGCACCCGGCCCGACCATGCACCAGTGACCTGCAATTTCCCCTTCTTTTCAAACTGAAATATGGCCAAACTATCTTCAAGTTAACTTAGGGGCTCTG